TAGTGTCCTCAATATTTTACCTTTACTTACAAGTTAGACTTGGGAATGTTTTTAGGCATTCTTAAATTTAAAACATTTGAAAACCTAACAATATTTTGAGTTTCTGTTTATAAATCCATGTTGCAAAATAATATCCTAACAATTGCCTTGATAAAGTCTATCAGAGGATAAAACACATTGGTAAAGAAAATTTTTCCTTTTGTCTTCATGTATATATATATATATATATACACACACACACATACACATTCAAGTACAGGGTTGGTAAAGATGGAATAAAATTCCTATAACCAAAAACACTATTCTTGAAAGAGTGCTCAATACTGAGTACAGCTAATAATCTTTATTCAAAATTATAACATATGCATGTTATAAGATCACTACAAAAATTGCAATTTTGTTTCAACACTTTTGGCGCCTTTATCAAGTGATGGTGTTGATTGCAAAATGAAGAAACTCTTAAAAGCCTTTATTTTGCAATCAACACAATCACTTGATTGTACATCAATAGTGTTGAAACAAAATTGCAATTTTTGTAGTGATGTTATAACATGCATGTTATAATTTTTTGATATATATATATATATATATATATATATATATATATATATATAAAAAATATACTTTAGACATATGCTATATCCATGAGTGCTCAATATCATGGATAGAATGTATATAAATATAAAAGTGGACATTGAAGTGACAGTTTGTTTCATGCTTAAACATAATCATCAGGCCATGACAATTGTGTTGAAGCATGAAGGTCATAATTAGCAGAGGAGATAGTTGGATATTTGCCTCTAATCTAAGTGATCAGTGTTCAAGCCAATGTTTGGTTTGGTTTATGGCATATCAATGTCAATGGGTTATTTAATGCAACAAAATTTTTATTGCTGGTAATAATTTTTTTTCTCAAAAATGTATTACTGGTAATTATTATTAATTTTTTTTTTTTTTTAATGTATTGCTAGCAATATTTTTTTTCTCAAAAATATATTGCTGGTAATAACTTTTTTCTCTCAAAAATGTATTGCTCATAAGAATTTTTTTAAAAAATGTATTGCTGGTAATAATTTTTTTCTGAAAAATTTATTGCTGGTAATAATGTTTTTTTCTCAAAAATGTGTTGCTGGTAAAACAAATTATTACCAGCAATAAATTTTTCCAAAAATTTATTGCTGGTAATAATTTTTTTTTTCAAAATGCTTTGCTGGTATTTTTACTATAAAACATTTTTACAATTTCATAGAGAATTGCCATTAGTTTGGGGGTTAACCATTTACCCATAGCTGGGACCTTAACAGGTTACTACACCAGGTCAGGGTGAAACTAGGAACAACAGCAATTAAGAGGTGGTTCCATGCTCCTCAAAACCTGCTGATCAGAGGTCTTGCTGTTGGATGTATTCTGTTGTCATACCTCAAGCCAATGCAAAACCAGGGATCTTGAATATTGTTTTCAAGGTAAGACTACTTGGTAGTCTAGATAGTTATGTATGTATCAACAGCATCTGATGATTTGTGATTAAACCCATGTTCAAAAGTGGGACATTCAGGTTTTAATAAATCCTCTGTTGACTTATCGATTTATCCACTGAGAAGAAAGTCTTTGAGAGTTCAACCTCAAGGAAAAATCCAGTCAAAAACCTTAAGGCAGTTTGTGGCTGTATTCAGCAAAATCCTGGCAATTCTTGTGACCATGCTGGAGTTGTATGCATTGGTACTTGTGAGCTTGAACCCCCGAGAGGATGTTCCCACAGTTTTTACCTCTCCTTCAGAAGAGGGTTATTGTTATTGGCTAGCACCTGAGGTGACTCTGAATGGCTAAAAAGACTAGCAATTTTTGTCCACATATACATTGGCTACCAACCTGCTTTAAACTCAACTTTGTCACATTTTGCTTGAGTGAGGTGTGGTTAAATCCCTGGATTTTTACTGGATCATTTCAGTGATGTGGAGAAAGGGAGTTGACTGCAGGGTAAAACAGTCTGTGTCCACCCCCTAACCCTAACTTGTACACTGGGGAGACCACTAGCAGGCAGATGTGCAAGAGATACTGTATCTGAAACATCATCCAGAACAAAAATCTATAGTCTATTTTTCTTTTGATAATTTCACCCCAAGTAAAGCAATAAAGCCATTAAGATACAAGGAGTTACTGAGAGTGAAAGAGTCAATAAGTGACAATAAAAGAACAAGATTGACACAAACACAAGATGACAATTGACATTGCTTTTGAAGTTTTGAAGATCAAAGTTGACTGGGAAGTAAAAAGCCAGAAGAGAGTTCCACAAGTGAGAGGTGCCAGAGAAGAAACTGTTAGCATAGAATGTATGTTACCTCTAGCAATTTCAACTGTAAATTGATGAGACCTAACTGCCAATCTAGTACTGTGCTTAAATTGGTAAAGTTGAGGTACCAAAGAAGAAAGCTCAACAGAACAATTACAATGAAAATATTTATAGAAAAAGAATAGTGAAGCCACATTACAGCGGTGGTAAGTGACTGATTCTAAGTTGCCAGATTTTAATCATTTAATTCCAAGTATAGTAACAAAGCCACTAACTCACAAAGGGTTACTGAGAGCAAAGGAAAAAGAGGAAACATTAGTGAGGAGAAAAGACAATAAAATGAGCAGGATTCAAGGAGATAGAAGATGATGATTGACATTGCATTTAAATTTTTGAGGATCAGAGTTGAAAGGAAAGCAAGAAGCTGGAAGAGACTTCCACAGGTGAGGAGTGCAGCTATTAGGATACAACTTACAGTTAAATTTAAAAATTTCAACAATAAAATAATGAGACCTAACAATGCAGTATTAGATTGGCAGGTAGGTCTCATCATTCTTAACAACAGAATGAAAATAACTTTTTAAAATCAGCTGTCAATTTGACTTTATCAAAACTATTAGACTTATCATTAAGACAAGATTAAATTGTCCAAGATTGACATATGCCAAGGAATACATGAGCATTGGTTCCAGGTGTTTGTCTTTTGGACGGCATCAAATAATCAGTTGACTGCCATCAGTAAGAAGGAAGAATTTAATTTGCTTTTCAGGAGCTCACTGCTTTTCAATAAACAGAAAAAAACATGTCAGGGTTAAACTTCTTGTTTTTCAGTGTGATTACTCCAATAATAGCAGGCTTGTTTGACTCACTAGAACACAACTCGGCCACCCTGACCCCTGCATGTTTGTATGGTACACTAATGAGTAGATGTAGATATTTAGTAGGTGTCTATGCCGAGCAAATGAAGCATTATCTGTCGGCAGGCTGTGGTGAATGGGTTTAAACTGAACATTATGATGGCCTCTCTGTTCTTCTTTTCAATAGCTTTGCTACCTTGAGCAAGCGAAACATGTGTACACTGTGGACAATTTGATTGACGGTGCTGAGTTGATGCTTCACTAATGCAGTTGAAGTGAAGTGATGGGTGTTTTTCTTTGTGTTTTATTCAGGGCTTACATTTTTCCTTTTTTTGACTATGTGTATAATATATATATAAAGACATGTTTCATTGAATAATTTAGACAACTTTTGTCCACTTATTTTCTATAGGATCCTCTCATTCATATTCGGGGACAAGCTTCTTAGTATCCTTATTAAAGGAAGAGAGAAAATTGACGTGATGATACATATTCATTTATTTGAAGTACTTTCAACAATGACACGATGTCATCATCAGAGATTTATTTTTTTTCTGAGACAAAACTGTTGTGTTCATCTGAAAGTTAAATTTTTTATCTGTGTTTTTAAAAAAAGAAAAAAACTATTAGTTAAAACCTAGATATTTTAAACTATCTACTGTAAACATTTAAAAAAATAAGTGCAGTTCTCATAATTAATTTTGTTAAGGGTTGGTTTAAATTTTTTAATATAGATAACTTCGAGAATTTTTAGTTTGTTTATTATTTTCATGAAAAAATATAGATATAATTTCAACAAGAATTTTCCTAAATTCCAAATGTAGACAGGCACACTGTTGTCATTGACGTATCAGCCGGCATTTAACCTAACTCCTGCAGAGGGCTCTTGAGTGTGCCTTCATCACCATAGGTAGGGAGGAGTAGATGCGATAGGCAATAATAAACTACAGAAGAACCCAAAATTGATCGCTACATTTAAGCATTGCATTAATATTTAAGCTTACCTTTAAAAGTTCAACAATAATTCTTCTGTCACCACTTAATTTAAAGACAATTTGATGTACGTAGGTCCTTATTTTCCATACAAACAATGATTTTATTTCATGGATGACTTTCGCTGGAATTCTCAATTAATTTCAATTATTCCCAAATTTATTTCAAGATTATAAAAACTGTTATCGTATAAAAAAATTTGTTGCAAAAACTCATGTAAAAATATCGCCAAAAACAATTGCGGCAGTGAAAACTTGGAAGTCCAAAATTTCAAGATTTTGGCCCAGATCCATCCAAGAATGTTTTTAATTTGTTCATGGCGTTGACCTGATTCCAAAATGGTATGATATGTTGGGCTACAACCTCTAGAAGTAAATTTTAGAAAGTGTGACACAGTGCTACATTGACATTCGCATTTATTATATAGATATATGTGTGTATATAGAATGTTCTTTATAGAATGCAAGTGAGACTATCATTCTATCTATATATATATATATATATATATATATATATATATATATATATATATATACACCTATATATATATACACCTACACACACACTGCAAGAGCCAATTGTACACATGAAACTTATGCATGTTTAGATAAAGACCAGTGAAAGTTCACTCTTTTATATTTTTTTTTTTATTTTTTTCCTTTGTTTAGACTATCTTCTGTGTTCTATATATTTAATATGAATTTATTTATTTCAAATAAAAGAAGGTAAACCTTCTATTATTTAAAATAAATAAATGTATAATTTATCAAATTAAAATAAAATAGACTGAAATAGATATAAACAGATTCAGCTATATAGACAGATATGAATAGAATTAGATATATAGATATTGAAGTAACTTAGATATTAAAGAGGCTGATATAGATAAATAACGAAGAGACAGAGGTAGATAGATAATGAAGAGACAGAGGTAGATAGATAATGAAGAGACAGAGGTAGATAGATAAATAAATTGATAGATATGAACAGACTGAGATAGATAGATAGATAGATATGAACAGACTGAGATAGATAGATAGATAGATATGAACAGACTGAGATAGATAGATAGATAGATATGAACAGACTGAGATAGATAGATATGAACAGACTGAGATAGATAGATAGATAGATATGAACAGACTGAGATAGATAGATAGATAGATAGATATGAACAGACTGAGATAGATAGATAGATAGATAGATAGATATGAACAGACTGAGATAGATAGATAGATAGATAGATATGAACAGACTGAGATAGATAGATAGATATGAACAGACCAAGATAGATAGATAGATAGATATGAACAGACCAAGATAGATAGATAGATAGATATGAACAGACCAAGATAGATAGATATGAACAGACCGAGATAGATAGATAGATATGAACAGACCGAGATATCTATGAACAGAGATAGATAGATAGACAGATAGCTAGATAGATAGATATGAACAGACTGAAATAGTTTTGGTTTTGAACAAAACAATGCCAATTTCAGTTACCATTTTTGTAAGGTATGTTTTTTGTTTATAAGTTTTTATTTTTATTTTATTTTCATTACAGGAAAATAAAGGCCATTCTTTTGAGGAATGTGAATAACTTTTTGAAAATTCAGTTTCAAAAGCTTGGAAATTTCTGCAGTGAAAATCTTTGACATTAAATTGCAAATTGTTGCCTTTGTTGAGGAGTTGAAAAAAGACAAGTTCAGAATTCTTTGATAAATATTATCTTCTGACATTATAATTTATTAACTTATGATAACCAATAAGTCTGTGAGAATCTTGTTCTTGTTCTTGCAAAGGAACACTGTGTTTTTATTTTGCTACCTAAAGTTTGCATCTGCAAAGTAGTCAATAGAATAGTCAAGAGGAGGTGCTGAAAATTCTAAACCTAACCCACTCCCAAAGTTTGTATTATGATGATTAGGCAACCAATATACTGATGTCCTGGGTAAGATGTTAAACGACATCCACATCCTGGGTAAGACGTAAACTACATTCAGCGGCAAGGCCTCTGATCAGGAGGTTTTGAAGAGCGTGGAACCACCTCTTAATTACTGATGTTCCCAGGTCCACCCTGACCCGGGGTGGTGAAAACTATTTCACTCTGTTTATAGCTATCTATCTAAGTTTGTTCATAGATCTCTCAGTCTGTGCATATCTATCTATCTCGGTCTGTATTTGAGCTTAGAAACTTTAACAAAATATTGTAATAACAATCATAAATATGAATGCTGGTCATTATTTTAAGAAGTAAGGGGTTACAAATGAAAACATTTGAAACCGACGTTTTTTCCATTTCATTGAAACAGCTGTTAAGCATTTTTATCTTCCCTTCTTTCTTTCATTCATTTTCTCACTGAAACCAAGTAGCATGTGTCTTGTATTTCTATCCAATCAAAACGAAATAGTCTATTATTTATGAGGTATTGGGAGGAGATGTTATACACTTCTATTTTCTCTTCTTTCTTTCATTCATTTCCTCACTGAAACCAAGTAGCATGTGTCTTGTATTTCTATGCAATCAAAACGAAATAGTCTATTATTTATGAGGTATTGGGAGGAGATGTTATACACTTCTATTTTCTCTTCTTTCTTTCATTCATTTCCTCACTGAAACCAAGTAGCATCTCTGATATGTGTTTTGCTTTTAATCGGAATCAAAAAGGAATAGTTCATTATTTATGAGGTATTGCCTGGAGACGTTAAACACTTCAGTCTTTCCTTCTTTCTTTCACTGAAACCAAGTATTGTTTTTTTCCCCTCTTTCCACGCGATCAAAAATAGTCCATTATTCATAAGGTATTGGCAGGGCGTAATGGTCGTGTTAACTAATGAAGGGAAGAACAAGCACAATTATAATAGGATAAGAAAAAGAACAGAGCAAAATAATACAATGAATTGACAATATAATGCAAGGTAAAGTAAAGCAATCATATATATATATATATATATATATATATAGCGGGTCAATTTACACGCATGTATCACCCTTACACTTCCTGACTTTCAATATGTTTTTTCTTTTACATGCATACTTGTGTTTTCTCTTTTTACTCATTTTCTTTTAAGCGAGAAGTCACAGGGAAGCTACATTACGGCAGTGAGAAAGTAACTGCAGCATTGATATCAGGTCAGGACCAATAATATTGCAAATTCTTCTTTGGATTTGCAGGTTTTTGTTCAATAGACATGCTACAACTGCATTTAAATCCATTGAAAACTTGAGGCAATTCTCAGGATAGCCACATTACAAGTGATTGCAGTCCAATCTTATTTTCAATTCAGCTATCAGAGATCAAAATGTTCCAGTCACGTTTACTATTGTTTTTTTCTGCCAAACATTGCAGGTACAAGTCATGTAAATCGACCTTTTCATCCAACTTAAAAAGTAGATCAAAACAATTTAATCCCATTTATTATTTGTGTTTCTATCAAGTTCTATAGTTTAACCTACTTTTTAATCCAAACAACATTATTTTCAAAACATTTTATTCTCCTTTACTATTTAGTTGTGGTTGTGGGTAACCTGATCATAAATTCTTTAATTATAGATTTTAAGTATGAACAACTTTCAAAACGTCAGATTACCCACAAACACAACCGGTGTAACCTAAATTCTTTCACTCCCACACAAAACATCCCCCAATCAACATATAGACACTACCAAAAGACAGAAATAAAAATGCACATGTGACACAAACAGGTGCATATGCACGCACATTATCAATCAAATCCCACATAGACCAACTTGAATTATGATACACAAGCATACAAGAAATATACACACAAATGCTACCAGACAAGACAAATCCACATGAAGCCTACTTAACCAATAAAAAACAAACAACACAAAACAAAAATAAAAAAAATACCAGGACTTTCTCTTCCATATTTCATTTCTGATGAAATCCCAGCCTGGTTGCATACAAGTTGGGAAAAAGACAGCATAAGTAGGATGCAGTTATAAAGCACAGTCTAAATGATAGCATTTGCAAATAAAACAAAGTACAGATAACTCTGTAAAAAGTCAGATATCAATTTGAGACAGTATTTATATTCTGAACAGGTCCACCAGGTCTGCATTGATAAGAAAAATCAATATTTTTCTATTCTGGCAAATGTAATGGCATAAGGATAGTCTAATGAATGCTAATCTACAAAAATTATCCCCCCACTCAACCAAATTCTTTCATGTTTTTTTATGAGCAGACCAGTGAATTTAAGTAGTGCCATAATTATCATGAAACTGATATAAACAACCCATCATTGACAGTTGTCTGTTTTAGCATTTCAAAGATTTTGATTCAGATCAACTTGTCCTCGTCTAAATTGTAGATAATACATTCTATCTATTTTTCTTTTTTTTTCGTTTACTCACTTTCCTCTTCGTCTCATGACTGTCCCCAAACGTTCTGGGTTACTCTACATCTGCCATTTTCTACTGCCTCCTGCCACTGCATCGAATCAATCAACCATACTAATTCAGGAATACAATATACGCAGTGTGTATGCAACCAAGTGTTGGCAGATGCTTTTTATGACCAACCCGCACCTGCCCCCTTATCATCTTCCAGTTGGGTCACACTTTCCTCTGCTGTCACTGGAATGAACAAATCAATGGGCCTAGAAGACAGTTCAGCTCAGTTTGTGTATAAAGATGGGCGGTAGGGTAGTTATGCGAGGCTAACCTGCTCTTGCCCCCACTCACTTCACCTAATAAAAAGGCGTGCCATTGTGTAATTTGTGTTATGGGAAATTTTTTTTTAATATTAAAATATTTTTCTGGGACAAAAGATTTTTTTTTGTTTTGTTTTTGGAGAAAAGTTATTTCAAGAATTTCTGTCCCAGTTTTGATCAATTTTTGCCTTGATGTGATACAAACAGGAATAGGTTCATTTGTTCAGGCTCTCTATTCAGAAAAGTCACAAAACAACAGTTTCCAATTCTTTGTCAATAAAATGAGAGCTGCTAGATTTGACATTAGCTAAATGTTACTGAGACAATGCATGCTTAAAAGCATTTTGAATGCACCCATAATATACGCTGATGGATAAATAAAACACAAGGCTCGAGAGCCACTCTTGGTAGATGGTTACTGAATGAAGTGTGAGATATGAATGTAAGAGAAAGTGGTAGGAAGTGAAAATCATGAGTGTAACAAAGATTGATAACGATTGACCCTTGACTTGAAGATGTTAAGATTGTGGTCTTTAGGGAAGCATCCACATGAGAGTCAGCTCCCTCACCACTAAAAAAAACCAAGCTGTCCATTATTTACTTTCTATTATCTTCATCTTTGTTGTTGTTATCACACATGGCATGTTGTTGGGAATTTTGTTTATTTCTGTTTAACTAACGACATGGCATACATGATATTAACATTAACGATGGGGATATTATTCTGAATGTAAATAACTTCTCATTCCAGAAATTCAGACAGAAAAGTAACAGTTCTTGATAGGGGTGGAAGCTGTCTGTGGAGATCTTTCTCCTTACTATTGGAATAGAGATGAAATGAGGGCGATTCAACTCTGTGGATGTAGCATGGCGTGCCCTAGCTGTAAGAGGTCTAAACTGGTGAAATTAAAGAATGGAGTGTTCATCTGAATATTTGCCATGGAAATAGCAGCAAAGTAGTTATGTTCTTGCTATGTTGTTTTAAATTACATGATGGATTTTTATTTATTAATCTGACACAAGGGAGATATGGTGGAGTAATGGATAGTGGCTCAGATTGAGGAATCTGAGAGCTGAGTTTGAATTCCAGTTGGATCCATTACATTCACTTATATGCTAATACCCTTGGGAAAGGTATGAATCCTCTTCTTCTTCCTCCAGCTATGGGTAAATAGCAGAACAGACCAGGTTCTATAGCTTTGGATGGCAACCAGTCTAGGAGAAAGTAATTCTGAATTCAAAACTATATGTAGCCCTGGTGTTGCACTTACTATACAGCTAAGTTTATTACGTAAACATTATTTTTTACTGGGTACTCATATTTGAATAGACACTCCGTTTATCTATTAAACAGTATATTTATTTATTTTCATCCACTGGCCTGAGTATTCAAGAAGTCTTATTAAGGAAAAATATGTCTTCTCCAATGTCGGCACACTCTGTGGCCGAGAGATCTAAAGCATGTTGGATCTAACAAGTTCCTCCTGCCAAAGGAGATACAAGTTTGAGCCCTGCCAGAGAGCACATATTTTTCTTAATATTTTTCATATAAATATTGTGTTCAATAAATAAATGAAGCGTCTACTCAAATATGGGTATCCACTAAAAATAATGTTTTTTAAGTAATAAAATCTGTTGGATGTTTTAAATTAAAAACTTTTAAATTTAAACATTTTAAAATTTAAATTTTTTAATCAGTAAGAAGATTCCCATTGGTAAGAAGGAAATTTCACTCAGCTTCTTCCCAAGAAACTTTACTTTTTGGAACAGACTCCTATTGGTCATTACATGAACAGGTTCCAGAATAAGTGGGATATCAATAGTACTCAGGCTCCATATTAATACACTGTATATGACATGTTCGTCAACAAAAATTAAAAATTGCTTTTTTCTATATTTTTTACATATTAATCTCCTTGTAGTATTAGTAACATCTTGTACAGATGTATTGGTATTTGGTTAGTATTTTGCATTGATAGGTTATTGTTATTGACATTCTATATAAAGAATCTTTAGTCAACAGTTGCATATTAATTTACCAAGTAATTCTATACATTTAAATTATTTATTGGTTTCTTAAAGAAGCTATTTATTTATCAACCATAATTTTTTTATACAGGAAACTCACAAAGCATATAACTTGTTTAGCATTTTGTTAAATTACCACTCTACCTCATTTTTTCTTAGGGAATGACATTGTCTGGTGTGTAAAATATGTATCCATTAACATCCACTCCTGTTTAATGTCTGTACTGCCATTAACTGCCAATCTATGGGTCAAGACCCATTTATGGAAAATAATTTCTTAATTTTTGCTTCTTCGCTTAGTTTAAATTTAACATAGGTCATATTCGATTGTTTGATCTGAGTAAAGCCCACAAACCTTATAAACTCCCCACTTTTTTTTTCCGTAAAAGGGGGCTGTATTTTGCTTTTAAATCCAAATAAATTGTTCACTCGCCAGTAATTTACAATCACCTGATGAGACACATTGATATTGATCAAAATATGACTGCAATTACGTAGCGATTTTGACATGTTTTCAATCCTAAAATATATATATATATATATATATATATATATATATATATATATATAGTCATCCACAGAAAGACTGTTTCGCTGTATTGCAGCTCATCACTGTGGCTAGACATGTGATTGCTTCAAGCTGGGATTGAAATCTGACTGATTTGACATCAGTTGGAGACTCTTACCTTTAGGCCATTAGAGAAAAAGAATTTTTAACACCTTATATAGGAGGTATATAGGCAGAGTGCTCAATTCATAACAAAGAACTTTTCGTGTTAATTAACAGTAGCCGACAAATTCCCTTTCTTCCAAAGCGTGCAACCTTCAAGAGAGAGCATATATAGTCATCCACAGGCAGACTGTTTCACTGTATCACAGCTCATCAGTGTGGCTAGATTTATTGTGGCATTCTTCAGTTTCAAGAGACCTTTGAACTGTACCCAAAGAGTTATGCCTGAACTGCTGATTGCAGCACAACATTTGTTATGGCTGTACAGGCCTACACAGGAGTGACAGTCTCAGTTGCAATGATTGCATGTGAAGACACTCTTCCTTGATGTTATGTTGTTTCCTTTCTGCTCTTTCCTTTCTGCTGAGCATGCTTCTCCCCAGTGGCAAGCCTTTGTTTCTCCTCACCTCACTCCAGCCCTCAGTGTAAATTGTGCCTCCAGTATGAACAATCATTAGCAATGTCTTCCTACCTCTTGATGTCTATTGCCCTCATGCCCCTTTTGCAGATGTGCATGAAGTGAAGATGAGGTCATGCCCGTGTTGGTGGCCAGTTCCCCGTACAGAAGGACCTTTGGAATCTGGCATACTTTGTACATGTTCAAGCCAAAACTTTTTCAGATTAGTGATTTTATTGATGAGATCATATACAGTGCAACTTCAGTTCTCAAATGTCTCACATGTCGAACAAATCAGTTTTTGAACAGAATATTCAAGATGAAAATGCCTCAGTTATCAAACTAAATTTTGGTTCTCAAACAACATTGCAGAACCAAGCTGAACCAAGTTAACCTGAATGGAATCACTTCTTAGTCGACCGCCATGTTGTATATATTCATATGTTGTGCTGTGCTTTTCTTTTCCAATTTTATTGTACTGTGCTTTTTTTTCTTTTCATTATTCCTCAGTCATGGCTCCGAAGAAAGTTAGCAGTGATACTGGTGAAAAAGAAAATTTAAGAGAAAAACAATTTCAGTTTCATATGGCAAAATCAACGATATATATACTATTCTTATAAATAGAGACGATCATGCCTTTCTTTCCCCCTTTCCAAACAATAACATCTCTTTCCTTCCCCTTCTACCATCAACTTTCCTACTTACAGGTACGGTGAAAATTGAAATGTCCATCTATATTTTATCTATTTAGTATTGGGTTTATTTATTTTCTTAGATTTAATGATTTTCATTAGTTTTGTGTATAAACTTGTTTCCAAAATACGGTTGTTAAAGTTTAAATAAGCAATCATCTTCAGATCAGGAACGGATTAATCCATTTTACATTGATTCCAATTCGAAAAATAGTTTTGGTTTATGAATGGGCTTCAGGAGCGAATTAAATTTATGAACTGAGGTTCCACTGTATATATTTTCTGCACATGAGCACATCTCTTGCATCAGATGTCTTTTTCCTCATTTTGTCATTCAATTACCCGCCATTAGTTTGATATATATATATATATATATATATATATATATATATATATATATATATATATATATTCAAATCTTGACTTCATTAATTACTATCAACCAGTGTTTGCATGTGGTTTTGGGACACTTGCCCAAATCAGGGATCTTACATTCTTGCCTGCAATGTCTGAGAAAGACTGCCTCAGAGGTGGGTGTTTATATATCCATCATGTACCACTTTCTCATGTGTATATCTCTAGTACACCTGGGCTGACAGGTGTTCGCCTGTTGTTGTTGCCACTGGCATCAGGTGAATCGCAAATCTTTATTCCGCATCTGGGAGATCATCTTGTCAACCCTGCATCTGGTTTCTCTGACTTCGCACTGAGTGCAAAGTCTATTCTGCATGATCTGAGGTGAGACACACATATGCATCAACAGTCATTCAGGTCTCCACAGGCAGTAACTCTTCCAAATTGTGTATATTTATATTTACCTGACTTTCCCACTAAGGCAGATTTTGACACAGGGGCGATTTTATGTGGGAAACCCATACATATGCATATGGGCCAAGTACAAAAAATTACCCAGTCCCTGTGATCCCTGTAACACTAGCATCAATATTGTACCGACACCACCTTAGTGCAATGAGGGAGGTACTGCTGCAGGGTTTGAATCTCTTGGTCTAGGTGCCTTCTCCCATCTAAGGAGAGCAGTTCCACTTCTGGCCAAAAGCAAACACCTGTTCCAGGCAGTAAGGTCTTAGGGTTAAGAGCTGGACTATTTTTCACCTCTGTTCTCATATGTGTGAGACTCCCATTTTAAACTCAGCCTTGTGGATGATGGATTATTTCCCACCCTACAACCTCTTTCCCACAGACAAAATGTTCTGTCAAGGTATAGTCCTTCATTTCACCTGTTCTGACCTTGACAGCTAGGAACCCCGCCTCACCACTGGGATGAATCGTCCCCCATTCTCTTCGAGTTTCATTCTGAGAACTTCTTACAAAGAACTGCTATTCTTTGGAACAAACTCCCAAGAGGATGCTTCCCTGGCCACTACAATCTTAACCTCTTTAAGTTTGACATTATCTTTCCTACATATCCTCATAAACTTCACTTTTTTCTGTTGCTGCTCATACAGCAACCTCATTTAGTAACTCTCTACCTTGAAGGTCTCTTGAGCCTTCTGTTCCAATGGGTACACAGCTGAAACCCATCTAGTGTAATCTCCATTTTATGTAAGAATTCTATGTTCCCTATCTTATTAAAACATTGTGTAAAGAGAAGCAGTTACATGTATGGCTGACCTCAGGTGTTGAATATCCTGGCATTAGCTCTGTTTTGTCCTTTCAGAAGTTCCTTAACCTAGAGTCATAAAGGCACCACATGTACTGCAGCTATAACAATAGTGGTGTGTCCTGGGAAGGTTTTTGTAACAACATCAACTAGTTATAATCTGACCTTACTATAAGTTATGTACACTCATGATTAAATTTAATTTTTTTTATAAACACAAAAAGAGATTAACAACACTAACTGATAATAAAACCACTATAAATGTTATAAAATTTATAATGCTTATATTATTAGTTAGTGTTGTTAGCAAAGTGGGCTCTTACACATAAATTTTAAATTACAGTACAGTGTAACCCGGATATAAGAGAGATTTTCTCTGGTCCCAAATTAGAGCCTGTATTAATGTATATAAAATAGACCAAACCCGGATATAAGAGACTTCTTCTCCGGTCCCGACAACTCTCTTATATCCGGGTTACACTGTAGTGTACATTATAAATTTTTTATAACAATATACTGTAATTTTAAAGGTTATGTGATGGATGGAAGAGCCCACTTTGCTTTGCTATTTAACCCATATATGGAGGAAGATGACTTCTTGCCTTTTCCAAGGACGTTAATGCAAAGTAAATGATACAAAATCGAGCGGGAATTGAACTTGGCTCGGTGACTCCATTTTCCATGCAGTAACAATTCAGCTGTAGTTTTGTCACAATTTTATTTTTAAATACAGCCCGAGGTAAAGGATAGTCAAACAAAATGACAAAGAAATGCTCATCTTAGGGAAAGCAAAGATCGAAGTCTGAGATCTTCTTACAGTTTAACAAAAGAAAACACGTTAGAAATAAAAACAAAAAATAAATAAATTATATAAATATTTGTGGAGAAACTAGAAAAGTTTGTTTGTTTTTTTTTTTTTACCTACCTTTTTTTCAATTTCTGATTTTGCATTTTTACCTGTTCACCTGCAAGAAGGATTACAAGACTCGGAATTTTATACATTGAACTTTTTTTTTTATTTTATTTTTTTGTGGGGATTCAAAAATGTTTTTTGTTTGTAGTTGACATCTTTGCATTTCATTGTCCATGCAATATGCATTTTTAATTTTTTTTTTTCCATTTACAAAAGCAAATCAAATTCTAGGTTTATTTTTCTTTCTTTTGTTAGACTAAAAAAAAAAACTTACAACAAAATTCTTTGATTAATTTTTTTTTGTTTTGTTTTGTTACCATCTGAAGTACTCGTTTGGCTAGTGAAGTAGAACCTGGGTGGGGTCGAGATGTTGTGGGGTGGAGAAGAAAAAGTAGATTGTTTATCTCGTCGTCTTCGCTATATAGTGTAAGCAAATCTGGGTATATGGTATATTTGTAAGCCTTTTAAACACATGCATATTGTGAAAAAAATATATACGTGAACAGTGTTTAATTTTGCTTACTTTCTTTTTTTTTTCTTTTCTTTCCCTTTCTCTCTCACACACGAGGACAGTCAGTCATCGTATAATTCAAGGGTATATAGATAGATGTTTTTTTTTTTTTTTTGCATTTCACATATGTATAGAAAAAAAGAAAACAAAAATGCTTACATATAAACAATCCCCACACACGTTATTATTAGTTTGAGAATGAAATGTTGGCCTATTAAACGACATATATAACTTTTATAAACAGAAAAAGGTTAGGTAAAAAAAAATATTAAGAGACACTTTTTCTTCTGACTACACACGTTGAAAACGTACCTCCTTTCAAAGTTTAGGACTCTTGGATCGGATAAATAATCATGTTTCGCAGGAAATCTAAGAAAAACAAAGCAAAAAACACAGGTAAGTCCAGTTTATATTATCTTTACTTTCACGGCTACCTGCAAAAGAAGAGAGTAGAAAGTTGACACAGTTTGTTACAAACAACTTTTTAAAAAAAATGAATCAGATTTTTGCTTTCTTTGTTGAATCTATTTCACTGGCTTAATTATCGATTTAACTTTTTTTTAGTTGATTTTTACATAACGAAATGTTTATTTTCCGAACTTTTTCGTGGATAAATTTCGACTTTTTATTTCATTTTTTTTTTTTAATCTAGATTAAGATCATATATATTTTCATTGGTAGTTAAGTAAACTAACACCTGTTCCGATAGTAAGTAAAAAAAAAAAAAAAAAAAATAGTAAGAACGAAATAAAAGTAAAACTTTCTCTCTACTAGTGTTATAGTGAAACTCGTTTTATTTATACACTTTTTTTCTTTTTTTTTTAATTTGTTTTTGTCTGTCGCCACTGGTTTTTATTATTGGGTCAGTTTCATTATTTATAAAGTCGTATTATTATTCAGATTCTGAGTCATTGCATATGGATCAAAAAAAATAAATAAATGCTTTGTTTTTTCTTTTTCTTTAAGACCGAAAATTGACTTTCATTTTTTATTTGATATTATTATAATTAACTTTTTAAATTTACCTGTCTAGCGCGATAGACTTCACTTTCTTTGTTTGTTAAATTTTTATTTATTTAATATTTATTTATATAACTCAACTTATTCGTACAGAAGTGAAATCCAAGTCCACAGACAGATTCAAGTGTTAAAAAAAAACACAGTGAGCAATTTGTTAATTTACACTTTTTTTTAAATGTAATTTGAAAAGTTTTTAAAATTACTACTGAATCGATTTAAGTTTAATTCATTTCAACAAAAATAGGTACCTCCACTTTTTCGCAAAAAAAAAAATAAAACCGCATATGATGAAAAAAGGCCCAACAAAACTCAATAAAAAGAAAGTTTTGTCATCAAAATGTTTAGTTTATGATATCATTAAGTCTTACTCTTAATAATAGAAGAAAAACCAACGTATTTTTTCATTATTTTTTATTATAAAAAGTTTGCTGTTTGTTGGGGCTCTGTTCTTAAAGAAATTTAAAAAAAAAAAATAACTATCTTTTTTATTTAATACGCATGGGGGTTTGAATAAACAAATATCGATTTAGTCTCGTCTTTAATAAACCTTTATACAAACTTTCTTTAATAAAGTTTATTAAATAAACCACTTTATCAAAAAACGTGTGCGTTTCACTTAACACATGTCAGTTTTTTATTATGACGACGAGTTATCTCGTTGTTGGAATTTTCATCTGCAGGCGCCAACAACGTGTTTAGTTTATTCGTGGTGATTATTGGTGTGAAAACAATGTCAAGATCTCGGTTGAACCGAAAAATCAACCCCTACACAATTTTATTGGCTAAAGTTGGCGTTTGAACTCAGATTTTGTAATTGACCTCTGGCGGTCAACGTGTTACTGTTAGTGTTAAGTAACACAATCAAATGTTTTGGTTCCACTCATCCGCGGTCTCAGTTAAGCGCGGCTATCCCTAGAAAAAAAAAAAAAAAAGTTGTGATGCTGGCAATTCGGATATGCCAGAGAAAAGGGGCAAAGTGAAAAAGTCCTCGATTTTAATAAGAAAAGAAAAAAAAATCATATGCTAAATTTGCTAAGATCTACAAGAACGAATCTTCCATTCATCACGTAACAACTTGTACTGTATTGTTGCATTTTTGTTCTATTTTAATTATTGTTCATTTATGATAAGAACGAATCTTTCTATCCGTCACAACTTTTGCACTAATACACACTTCACAGTTACTAATTGTTTTATTTATCATTAGTCATTGTTAATTTCTTATTGTGCCGACTGTAAGATTGAATCACGTAACTTTTAGGTACATCCACTAATTTTCAATACGTAAGGTTTAAATTTTAAACTTTAAAATGATTTTTTTTTTTTAAATGAAAAAGCAATATTGAAGCTTTCTTTTTAGCTTTAATTGAAAACTAAATGATTAAATTTAGTATTTCCAATAAGCAAAAATACCCTGGTGTATTTCAAATAGAAAATGATTTTTATCAACTTTTTGGTCGATTTCAGTTAAAGTCATTAAATCGGCCATTTTTGATACATTTGTAATCAAAAGTTAAACACAATATTGGAAATTAATTGTTTTATTGTGACACTGGCCTAAGATAAGAACAAATCTGTCATCCATCACATAACTTTTACATTATAATTATTATAGTTTTTATAACAATAGTAACTTAGTGTAATTTGAAAAGTTTTAATATTAAGTTACTATTGTTATAAAAATTATAATGGTTTTACTTTTATATTTAGTTAATTTTTTTTGCTAATCTCTTATTGTCTAATTTAAAAAGTAACTTAAATTTTTATCATGAGTGTATAAAGATAAACTTACTTATAGTAAGGCCGGATTAAAACTAGTTGCTGCTATTGATTAGGGTAAATTACAGCTCAGAAGTGATATCCTGCTTCAGGTTGATTTGAATCCTGATCACAACCAGGCCGTGAATGACCGTTTTCATTTTTAGTATAACTGGAAAGATGGGTAATCCCTAGACACAATAAAAAAACAAAGAAAAATTATTTTGTAACTACAGTTAACCAATTGGTTAACAAGTAGTTGATGCTGCTCGTTCCTAAAAATCAACTTTGATTATAATCTGAATTGTAAGGAGAACAAAGAATATTTGTATACCGTATCACCCTATTTCTTTATGTTGTAAATATGAAAGTTTTTTTTTCTTTTTTTAATCAATGAGAAGTACCCAATCCACGTTATTCTAGATGACATTTCGTTGATAATATTTCAAGAGCCTGAGTGATGACTGAGAGTCAAAGGAGAAAGACATGTTCAGGTATTCAAGGATGTTCTTGAAGGCATAGAGTTGTTTTCCATTGGAAAAACCTGTTTAAAAATATAGATAAAAAGAAGCATGTTTTTTTTTCTATAAAAACAGATGTCAACCAACTAAACGATAAATATTTGTCATCAATTTGCATGTGGTTTTACACCTTTCCTGTTTGATTTTATCAGAAATAGGATCCGATCACCACAAAACACAATGTGACAATTATATCTTCAAAAGAAAAAAAATCTACGAACAGGCTTGTTGCCTGAATTATTTTGAGTGCTGGCGTGGGTAGCCTTTTTTTAAAAGTCAGTGGAGCCAAGAGTAAGAATTTTTGCACACTGA